TTTTTTTTTTTTTTTCAGGAAAAGTTGAAAACTCGTTATTTAACTGAAGAACCTATTCATTTTGAAGTTCCTCACACTTTAACTAGTTCGTTGCATATAACTAGCACCAAAATGCATAAACCTTTGCACTTGAAATTGAAAAGTACTTCTATTGAAATAACTGAAGATTTTTCTGAACAGTTTGAAAGGTAATATTTATTTTTTTGACAGTTAGAATACAAAGTAGCCCTATTTGAGATCTCAGTAAAACAAAAAATACTGGACAAAAACTTGAAAATATTATAAAGGGTGATGAAAAATAACTTGTACATATATACATTATAATTTTAAGGTTTAATAAACTATCAAAAACTTTAATATTAACATCAAAACTACCAGTTATTTATTTACAATTTTTTTAAGTGACTGTCTATGGTTTAAAAGTCATAACTATGAATTTCTATGGGGTATTATCCCAAATCTCTGTCTCCAAGATGGGTTGTGATTCAAATCAGGTTAATAAGGTGGCCATTCTTGTTGGTCATTTTTTAAAAGCTTCTTTTATGGAAAATGAAATCACATATTGTTTTCAATATTTCTAAACTAGGTAATAAGTGATGGAGACTAATTATAATTCCACTCTCATTTTACAAATAGTTCCTTGACCAATTTCTCTGCTAATGTTTTAGCTGCTTCCACACAAATTGTGATGATAAAGAGAACTGTACTTCCTTGATTGTTCAAGAGTTTGATTATGCTACAATACCAAATGAAAGTAAACTTGCACCTATTCATTTTTCAAAAATTGCATCGATACTGGTGACATTGCCTGATTGTGATCATTCTGAAGTTGTGGATGTTGGAAAAACAACACATGTCAATGCACAGTTTTTTCGCTTCAACCACAATGAGGTAAAATATACTTTTATTTATTGCTTGCATGATGTCTTCTTTTTAATAGCTTTCAGTGCATAACTCTTATTTTGTTCCACAGTTTGATTTTGTGTCAGGCTTAGTTTATAACACTATCTGATTTTGATATTATGACTCTGTTCTGTTGTTATTGTTTGGTGCAGCACTACTACCTCTAACTCTTGCAACATTAAATTCCCCATGCGCTCAAATTCTTAGGAAATGTATTCTTTTTACTTCTGTCTACGATTTTAAGAAACATGATTACATTGATGATATGCACAAAACCTAAAACTGGTGTACATTTTTCTCCTATGGGATGTTAATTATTGTGTAAATTAACGAAACGTAAAAAGCTTTTATTTGTGGCCAAAAATTTGCTTACATATAAAAAAACAATTTTAAATCAGTAGATTTCAACAAAGCTATCAGTTCCAACAAGAAAGACATGAATTAACAACCTTGTAAAAGTTTGCTTAAATTGGTTCATAAAACATCTGTTAAAAAATGTAGTTTTAGGACATTCAAAATGAAAGTTTTCAGCAAGTTATTAATTTCTCTTTCTGAATATGTATTATTTTTATGATATTTGTTTAACATATAATTAAACTGAAAGATACTGTTATGATAATCATTCTCACCTCTTTTTATCACCTATCTTGCAACAATCAAATGACCCTGATAATGATTCTTCTTCTTTTGATAACCTTTTTCTCATTTAAATTTTAATTTGGTTGTCTTAGATATAAATCTGTTAATGTTGTTTTTACTAGTTTTCTAGGAATATTATGCTGAATGTTCTGCAAATACTGCCTTTAATACATATTTTTAGTATCTGTATCAAAAATAAATTGAAAAATTATTCATATTAGAGTGGAAACATTGAAACATTATTAAACCCTGACAAATCTCTATTATGGAAAGTGGAATTAGACACATCAAATTTTTTTTTTTTTTTAATGTCAGAGGAAACTGAAAGGAGGTAAACGGCCATTTTTTTAAGCTGCAAGGCATTCAAACTGGTTTAAATATTTTTAATCCCATCTTCCTTATTTATGTGGTGTTTTTAATAGTAGGCATTATCAAAACCTGACAAATCACTATTGTGGAAGGTGAGGCTTAAAACACATCAAAATCATTTAAGTTGCCAGAAGAAACTGAAAGGAGGTAAATTTCCACTTTTAGAAGCTTCAAGGTATTCTAACTGGTTTTGATATTTTTAATCCCATCTTCCACATTATTGTTATGTTCTAAATAGTAGGTTTAGATAACATTGTTGTTTTTTCTGTGCTTAAGTTTTATAGTGTGCAGCTTAATCTATGTTTTTTATTTTATTTTTTGACAAAGATTTTAAAATTATGTATTTAAGTCTGACATAGCCAAGCACCTTGTATCTTGATTGTTCTGAAAACTGAATTATACATAACTGAGATACGCATTAAATTATTTGTCCAACTTCATAATAAGTTTGCAAGCATTGAATGTGATTTTTATTATTATTATTAATTTCTCTCTATTCTTAGGTATTCGAAAAAGTCATCCTACGCAGCAATACTGTGTACATTTACAAGGTTAATATTACAGAAGAAGACACATATTATTCACTCCTATTCCATGTCAGATTTCATTTTCCAAATATGGCTAACATTAAACATTCTACACAAGTTTATTTTAGGTAACTTTTTTTTCATAAATTAATTTTAATCAAACTGTAGTATTCTATAACCATTTTTATATGTTTATTATACATTGTCTAAATAAAAATAAATTTGCAAAACTATATAAATACATATATTGATACAAATGTATCAATATTGTAATTTTTTTATTATAATCTTTTTTTGATAGTTTTATATGAGGTATAACTACTCAAATGAAACAGTAAATGGACAAGTTGTAAATTTTACATCATAAGCGCTAATATTTTAATATTTTTTTAGAAAATTGAGAATTTTAATTCCTATAATTTTTTTACTCTTCTAAGGGTTTTTTTTATTATTATTATTAAACTATAAATTTATAGACATGACATTCTTTTATAGCTGTTACCCAGCAAATTTATATTTTGTTTAAAGTTTAAAAAAAATTTAATATTCTTTTATGATGCATGTAATAAATTATTGTAATTACTATGAATTAATTTGTATTTATAAAATAAATTTGTGTGTGAAACAACTTCTTTAATGTGTAGCATTGTTCCCAAATGGTCGGATGAAGTTTCAGTTGAGAACTGAGTGACCAACAAAGAAAGCTTCCTTGATCACTTGGTTTCCTGATAATGCGCACCGCATCAGCCCGGAGCCTTGTCTCAACATGTGATGTAGTATTCAGTTGAGCAAAGTTTCAGGCGAATTCGGTGTGTGTTTTCCTTCTGAATTTCGAGACCATTATTAGTAGATGATCCACTTTGAGAATACATTTTTTCTCTTTTTGTAATTTTGCTTTCTTACCAGATATATCCTTTCCAGAAGATGACGGAAGTGAAGAAAATGGGAAGAAGTTGATCCACTTTGCAAGTACTTTTTCTTCATCTTGCATATGGGTGTTTAGATTTTAAACAAATGTAGGCGACACCGTTTAGTGAGATAGAATCCAGGTGCATTTTCATTCAGAAAACAATACAATTTATTGGAAACAAAAGACAATACAACTAAAAAATCTTTAGATGCTTGATTTTTAAATTATAACAACTAATAAGCATTATGATTTTTTGTTTATTTCTTATGCTCTTTAAAAAGAGAGATGATAATTTAATAGTTGTATTAGAACCCTTATTTTTTAAAAACTTTTATCAGTTAGGCAATCAACATTGTTTGAATAACCATTAATTATAATTTATTATCCAGCAAAAAAATTTTTGAAATCTTAGTAAGCAACAGTTTTACTTCACTATCATTTAGTAAGATTTATTTTTTAATTAAAAGCTAAAAATAAAGAACAAAGAATATACTTTATTAATAATATTTCTGTCATGTACTGGAAACACAATCACGAATCTATATGTACATTTCATACATTTTCTTCATTAATATCATTTTCTTCAATAGTTCTTTTAAATAAAATAAAAATTTCTTGACAAGAAACTCAATTTTTTTTTTAAATTTTAATTACGAATACATACCTTCTTTCTTTAAAAACCTTTACAGAAACAAAGAAATAGTTTTAATATGGGATCAAGTATAGGTGACTATAGCAGCAGTTGAAGTACTAGTATCAACTCTTAAGGGCCTATTCTAACCACCTGAAAATTTGTCTCAACCTCGTCATTCAAAATAGGTGAGCAAAGTTTCAGGTGCCTAGAGTAGGCTTACTCCAAAACCTTGGATTAACCATTTCATCTGAAATATTAACATCGGGAACAAATTCTTTTCCTAACTTTAAATTTTGCAATAAATATGTTTTATGACTTGAATTTTTCTTTCATATTGCAGTTCTCAATTAATTTGTACCTAAATCAGTGTGTGATTGAAAACTTGTTTTTTAATGTACGCATGCAATTATATTTTTCAAGGTATCAGTCTTATCCAACTCCATGGAAATATGATTGGAAAAACAATTTAGCCCCCAATGTTGTTGATCAAAGTTACTTCATCCCAGAAAGCTACATAAAAGGTAACTAAAGTAATTATATTGAGTAAATAGATAAATTTTAAAATCCATGCTAAAACATTTAATAAAGAAACTCTACACAATGGAATTCATTAATAAATATTTAAGTGTATAAAATACAAAATTCTTTTCAGAATCTGATTGGTCATAAATAAGATTAGGAACAGCATTAGAGATCACTGATTTGTCTATTGAGTCATTGAGTGTTTTTTTTTCTTGAAACTTCTTACTTACTTGACTTTAATTCTCCTTGCTTTCAAGTGACACATGAGGCTGAGTCCAGTGCTGCTTCACTGGTACTCCTAAACTCAGCAATCCAAAAACATTTAGGATTATTTGGCACCTGGTTAGTTTTGGTCGCCCTCTCTTCCTCTTGCCACCCAGGACCCAGGTCAGCACTAGTCATATTGGGTCTGATGATGTCATTCTGAGAATATGTTACACCCACATCCATCTGTGTTTTTTAACTATTGCAGTTGTGTGTTTACCGTTAGTTTGTCTATATAATTCAATGTTAGATATTTTATTTAGTCAGTAAATTAAGATATTTCCAAAGCATTTTGTTTGAAACATGTCACATTCATTCTTGATTCTCTCTTTGTTTTGTAAGTTTCCAAAGCAACAAGAAAATCAACCTAACACCTTGAAATACCCACTCTCATTTAAACTGGTTATAGATGATTTTAATCTCTTCTTTGTTCTTATTTACCTTAAGAATGATTGGTCGGATTTTGAATTTTGTATTGCTTTACACTTGATGTTCTGTGACCTCCAATGTGCAGAGTCTCTTACTATTCCATTTTTTTACAAGAGTAAAAAGAATATCTTTCAAGAAAAGATTATTACAGAACATCCAATGTCTTTTGTTAATTTATGATTTTTAAAACATATCGTTATCTAATATTTAATTTACAACAATTTTCTCCACTTTAAAAAACTTCATTTAGAATTTTTACTCATTTTCTAGTTCCTGGCATATATTATTTTGCGGTATGGACGTACCAATTTGAAGAGAGTCTCTACACAGACAGCATCATCTTAGAATTAGATGTCAACATATGGAAACAAATGTGTGTCAGTCAAGATCGCGGCTACTGGTCTCATGAAAGTTGTCAGTCTTTAAACTCTTCTAATAAGGACTGGATTCATTGCAAGTATGTTAATTTCAATTTTATTTACAATATTTATATTTGAGAATATTACATTCCAACACAATATTTTGGCTATCTATGTACTGTACATCTATGTACTCATTTTATTTAATTGGAGTCGAAAAAAGGCTGAATTGTAAGGTGTATAGTTTTTTACATCATATTGAAGAATATAATTTTAGATGGCAAAATACAAAATTTTAGCGAATTTGGTCTAATAATTCTTGAAATATCAAATTTTAAGAAAGTTGTAGCTGTAAAATTTGATTTCTCAGGAACTATTCAACGAATTTTGCTCAAATTTTGTCTTTTGCCATGAAAAAATAAATTCTTAAAAATTATATGAAAAATTTTATACCTTACAATTAAAACATTTTTTGGCTATTATTAAATAGAGTAATAAATATTTACTAAAAGTTATTGTTTGTATGGAATTATCTCTGGATAAGCGGATTTTACAATTGTGTACATAAACTCTACAATTCACTCAAAAAGTTCTCAATACATAGTGAAATACACAAAAAGTAAAATTAACATTAAGGTTTCCAAACTTTGGATCTCTTTCCTGAACTATTTGTACCATACTACCCAAAATTTCTAATCCGTCAGGAAAAAAGTATATTTATTCAAAAAGGTTTGTTTTATGTCTGATGTCATAACTTAAAATGTCGTCTGCAGTCTTTACTCACTAGTTAGCATGTTTAAAATCGCCTCCTTGGGCCATTAAAGTTGAGTCCTAGGTTGTGAAGATCAGTTAATTAGATCAAAAGTTATTCAGGGTGATCCTTTTTTTGCACTGTATATAATTACATTTTATGATACCTCTCATCATCTTTATGTATACAGGAAGTCTCCTTAATAACCTCGTCAAAATAAAGTCATTAAAGTATAAACATAAGGGAATGCAAGTTAATATTTAAGTGGGAAAAAAACACTATTTAAATTTGATGAATCACTATAGAGATTGAACTGTTTGATAGCCAGGCATAACTTAAAATTGTATCTAATAGTTGTATTCTATCTTCTCTCTGCTATTTCTGCAATCAAACAGGTTTTGATGCTATTTTAACCCACCTCTCTTAATAATAATGTGTTGGATTTCAATGGTGATTTTTGCTTTTTTAATCAAACATTAATTGGATACACTTTAATAAACATATTTTTTTTACTTCGTATTTCATAAGGATATCATAATGAGTATAATGAAACATATTTTTTATGAATTGTTATCTTTAAATTTATGAATTAGAAAAACATTTCTGTAATTTCTGTAATAAATGTGTTTTGAATTAAATAAAATTGATGATCTTTAATTATGACCCACTTTTGCTGATAGTTTGTAACAAGTTTTTAAGTAGTAATTGTTTTTACATTTTTGTCTCAAAAGTATTAGTTTCAATCATTATTATTTTTTCAATAAATAGAATTTTGTAAAATTTGATTTCTATATATACAAACTAATTCTTTCTTTATTACAGATGCTCATCTCTTGAAATTGCTGGATTTTCTGTCCCACTAAAAGCTGATATCCTACAGATTCCAACAAATGACTTATTGAAATCCTATTTCAATGTCTTCCCTCTAACTATTTTCATTGCTCTATTAGCTATATATATACTCCTCCTCATATTAAATTATAGAAAAGATAGTACTATAAACCTTTCCTATTCGCCTATACCACTGAGGGACAACTCAGATGAGCACAAGCAGTTATATTTAATCTGTACTAAAACGGGAATGCATTTTTCTTCTGGAACAACAGCCTCAGTAAGACAATTTGGATTTTCTCCAAACTCTCTTGATAAGTAAAAAAATTTCATAATAACATCTTTCATTATTGTTCGTGTTTTAGGTCTTTATTGTTCTTCATGGTATGCATGGAGTTACAGAAACAAGGCAACTCATTGGTTTTAATGCTAAGAAATTTTGCTTCCAGAAAGGAGCTACAGATTTATTTTTACTAAGGTAAATCAATTTCAATTCTTTTTCTATTTTATTTGCCAATATTAAAAGGAAAGACCTTATCTGGTGCGATTTTATAATGTTATTATTTATATTTTAAATAGTTTTCATTCATTCAATGACATTTTTTTGTAAAATATTGTATGTAGGTATTTATAAATGTGTTTAGGTTATAAAATTTTTAGTCCTGCTTTTCTCAGTAGTTGCTCTTACATTTTGATAACATTTAATTTTTTTCTGATTGTGTGTGCTTTCTTTTTACTTCATTTTGTACAATTCTTAAAATATCTATTAAGAGAAGTTATTACGGAACATCCTTTATAATTAGTATATTTTTACAACTGAAATATTACTTTATCTTAACAATATGTTGAATTCTTCATTGTGAATTAAATTTATGTTATTTTGTGAGACAAATTCATCATTAAATTTTGCAGGTACTGATTTATTCACACTTTTTTATTACCTTTGTAATAATCAACTGTAGTACATCAAATTATTTTATTTTGAAGTACAAGAATTTACAATTACATAATACTTTATATATTGTAGCACTCCTGAAAGTCTGGGTCCACTTGTGAAAATTGAAGTAATGCATAATAATTATGGACTTTCACCTTCCTGGTATTTGAAAGATGTTTTGATAAAAGATTTGGAAACAGGTAAATAATGTTTTATTTGATAAAAAAAGGAACTTAGTTTATAGATTTTTTTACTTGTCATTTTTTATGAAATATATCTAATGTATTTTTTTTAATTTATTGCAATCTGAAAATCAAATGTATTTCTACATGGAAACTCTTTATCCGTACATATTACAATTTTATTTCTTCATCCTATTAAGAAAGATTTTTTTTTGGATAAATATCAAGTTTGTACCCATGAGGTACAATAAGAATTCTTTTAATGCTTCTTTTGTATTTTGCAATTAACTTATTTTATGATTTCATTGTTCAAAATCCCTCTAATGTTGTTTGAGTTTGATGCTGCACAGCCAACTCTGACTCTCACACTGTTAGACTCTACATTTAATTTAGATCATTTATTTCCTGAAATTGTTTAGAATTGTTAAAATAAACCTTGACATTCAAGCACAATCCATTAAAAAAAATATAAGTTCATAAACCCTAAACCTTTACACGAAAATAATAATTTTCCTATAAAAAATTTGTTCATCCATGATTCATTCAAAGCAAAAAAGCTATTAATTATGTATTTATATCAAATGATTAATGTAAAACAATTAATATAAAATATAGCTAATTATAAGTCTGGCCACATTGGTATTCATGTACTTAATGTTATATGTCTGCATTAATGAGGCTTTAGTCTCAGCATAGCTACACAATTTGTTAGCCTCTTGATACTTGGTAAATCACATGTTCCTTATTTCATAGCTTGTCTCTTTGCAATCATTGCCATGATAAGCCACCAAATTCAACTGTTTTCCCCGTGTAGACAAAAGTTGGATCTTGTATTCCTTAATGTTTTTTAAACATGTTATGTTAAAGCGCTATTATATTGCAGTTGAATATTGGCTGCCACATTTAACACTAAAGGTCACACAGCATTTAAACCTGATCTGCTAGTATTGCGAAGAATAATTCATTTGTTAATCCATCTCAAATATCTTCAACATTTTTGTAAATTGCATGTATTTTCTGATTCTGCTGTTATTAGTTTTATTCAATTCGTTTGGATTACTTTTCTTGTGACAGCAATTTTTATTACTCATTTTTAGGCTACAGTTACACCTTCAATTGTTACAAGTGGCTTTCAGCTGAAAAAGATGATGGTCTTATAGAAAGGGAATTAATGCTGTCGGATACAGCATCAACATTTTCATCTGTAAGTTTTATGTTTTTTATTAATTTTTTTAAATTATATATTATTTAGGGTTTAAATTATCATAACACTTACATGAAAATTTGCATTTTTTTTCAGCTTTTCTTTAATAATGTGATTGCTTATGTCCATGACTTCAGTATGTGGAATTCAGTATTGTGTACACCACCCAGAACATTTTTCACAGGAGCTCAAAGACTAACCTGCTGCCTGTGCTTTCTCCTTAATTCAGCTTTCTGTTTTACAGCTTTACAAAACCAAATTTTAAGCAAAGTAAATATCTTAGTTATTAAATTTTAGTTTTGAAACATACCGGGTATTCTTTTATCACTGCCTTTAATATATATTTTTAGAATGCTCGTCAAAAACAATATTATTTTTGGCGAAAATTACCAATAAAAACAGTTTGAACTGTCTTAAAGACTAAAGACTTTCCTTTTATACTATGTGTTTATAAACTGATTCTTATTCTTTCTATTGGAATTAAATTATTCTTCACTATAGAAATTGTTAGGAAAGCTTTTCAATTTTATATACTACTTTAATTTGCTATGTTGTAAAATTTTGCTATGTTGTATTAAAAAGCATTAATTAATACAAATAAAGTTGACCAGGAATTAATTCAAATCATCATGGAATATAAGCATTAATTGAATATTTTAAAATTGGGAGGCTATTAACCTTTTTAAGTTAATTCACAACGTCGTGACACAACACTATGCTTACATCTTTGATAAAAGGATCAATTCTAACATTGCTATAGTTGACAATAATTTGACTGGAATTTAATTTAGATAAAACAATTTAATGAACAAAGGAAATTTTTATTATTTATGTATGATTTTATTCAAAACGTATGCATTCCCAATGTCTTTACAAACCTGCATACTGCCTGTATTTCCTTTATTATGTCTTCCGGTTTAATATTGTTTTTGTATTGTCTGCTTTAATGTTACATTTTTTGATGTTCTGAAAATTTACCTTTCAGTTTGAATTGGACCACTCTATTCTTCATTTGTCATCAAATACACTTATATTGTGCCTGTTAGTATCAGCAATGGCTACCTTACCTCAAATTGTTCTTACAATCTTGTTCCGTTTGTCAAGGCCGCCTACAATTGGGTTGAATCCTCATTTCAACAGATTATTTTTTTCCTGGTCTCTTCGGCCTTTTTATTGCTGGTTGCGACAAAAACATTCTAATACTAGCAGATCTTCAGGAAGATCCATCTCTGACACTGATGGCAGTGATAGTTTATACAGCAGTTTTGAAGAAAGCAGTATTCTGTCTATGTCTAATATAATGGATGAAAGTTTTTCTTCAGATGAAAAACAAGAGTTATCTGCATCACTGTCAATTTCAAATGTCAGGTAATTGCAGATTTTCATAAATAAAATGTTATGTCTTTAGCAGAATCCTTAGCATATACAGGGTGTCCTGTAACTGCAACTCTTATTGTATACTCTTGGAATCCTCATAAGAAATACTGTAATAGTATTATGCACATTAAGGGTAGCAAGGAAATATTTAAACAAAAAGGAAATCAAATCACTAGTTTGGTTGGGGAATAACCTAGTTTGATTGCCTGATAAAACTTGAATGTATGTTCTGCATTCTTCAATAGTAATTCATCAGATTTCTGAATCGTTTTTGTTTTATACTCACTTATATATTAAATTAGCACCGCTAAGGTGTTACTTTTTCAGAGAATATATATTAATGAGATGTTTTATAAGAAAAATACACTTTCATTTCTTTTACACAAATCAATAATTAAATGAAGCTAATTATTGGTATTTTAATCATTTTTTATATATTGATAATATTGCTTTGTAGTGTGGAAATGTGTGTGTAACACTATTTATTTTACTGTACTTTATATACATAGGATCTTTATCAAAATTTACCATAAGTGTGCCAAATGCTTAAATTTCGGTGAAATACATAAAAATAAATACTTTTTTCATATTTTAGCAAAAACTAAAATCATATTCTTGAATAGTAATATACAATAAAAGACTAAGATAATAAAAATTTGTGTTCTATGTAAACTATGTTTTATATAAGGTATATTCTACAAAAGTGATGCCCATATATAAGATATGAAACAATTATGATTTCTTTTAAATAGTGATCCTGTCTCACCTCTTCAAAAATCCATTTCCACCTGGCAAGCTTTTGAAAACTGGGTTAGAAAAAAGCACAATATAATTATGAATGCAGATACAATGGGCAGACAGCATTTATATGATGATAAAAATGAACATTCTGTAGAAAATGAAGAAATTGTCCTCGAAGAATTGAATCATTTTGTGAATGAGAGCATGAATGATTTGGACGAAACTCTAACAAGTACATATGACTCACTATCTTCTGGCAGTGAATCTCAAGGTATTAGTTATATTCATTACGATTATATTCGTTAATTTTTATGATGTGCTTTCTTTATTGTAGATAGTATTTACTTCTGTTAGACAGTAAATTATATATAACAGTTATATAAAACAATATGCAGCTTTTAATGTTCAATTAAACCCCGTCATTTGAAAGAGACTCTTGTGAAACGTTAAAATATAGGTTACAAAATTAAATCTAATGTCTTGCTCAATGAGAAATATATAGTATAGTCAACAGATAATGATAAAAAGTTTGAATTCTTTTGCATGGAATTTTTTTTTCACTTTCCTCAAATTTCTGATTCAATCCATTGCAGTAACTATGTTTCTTTTGAAATTAAATGTTTGTATTTTAAATCATTTAAAAATTGTTTCAGGATTAACTTCAAGCCACACCTATTCTCACAGCACAATATCAGAAAAGAGTGATGTAGATCTCAGACTTCAATTGCTGTTCTTACCAACATTTTTCTACTTCGTAGCATGGTTGTTAACATTGCTCAATGCAACTGTCTCCCTCACTTTTATTCTTATCAACATATCAAGGTATAATTTTTTAATCATAACACTTTTCTTTTCTTTTAAACTACATTCTTTCCAAAACAGCTGTCAACGATGCTAAAATTTTACAACAGGAGCCTTTACATACCTCATTTATCTAAGATCTTTCAACTCCAGGTCAACCAAAGGCATACTCTTTAAATGTTGATTCCTCTTAGAATATAAAATGTTGATAGTCCATCAGTCAGAAGTGCAAGACGACCTGATAGTCCATCAGCAAGAAGTGCCTCTAATGCTGTTTAAAACAACACGGAAAAAAAATTTCCTTCATGATTCTTTGGTTAAGAGCTTCCAGATTAAAAGCTAAAAAACAACATTCTGGCCCATTTCACTTTGCCTGCTGACAAAAGATGGGCCTCAACATGTAGTGTAGAGTTTAAAATGGGGAAAAAGACAAACTTTGATCGAAACTATCTCTTCAACCCTGGCGTAGTAAACAAAATATTTTACTTTCCATTATCTTCATAAAGTACATATATGCTTTATTCCAATAATCAACAGGGATACCTTGCTAAGTATACAACCATTGTCAACCAAATTTACCATTGATGGTCAACTTGTAGAAATATCATTATTTCCTAATTTATGTTGTGCATGTATTTTTAAATGCTGTAAATTGAACTGTATTTAAATATTTGAATTTTTATTTTTTAATATATTTAATGTGTGTTTAATGTCTGTAATCTATTAATGTAATGTGTACTTCATTTCAGAAAAAAACTTTTTTTTAGTAAACATTTATAAAATGTTTAAATATTTCTTAGAATAAACTCTATTAGTAGGAAAAATTTCTTACTTTATATTTTTATTGTTTTCAAAAGCTCATTTTGCCAAAAATTATTTTATAAATGTAGTTTTTATTTTTTCCTTTCTTTTTTTTAGCTATTCATTCATCAAGTGTGCCTTCCTCATGAAATATATTTTCCTCTGCATTCTCTGTTCATGCTTAGTGTGGACTCCTTTTATTGTAAGAATTTTATAATTGTTATTGACGTATTTTCAATGTTATTGGTGCAATCAATGTAAATTTTATTTAGTATTGACAGCTATTTTTAATTTAAGCCATTTTTTATTTTAGTCTTATTTAAAACAGACTTATATTAAAATATAACAGGGACTTCTATCAAAAAATATAACTAAAATTACTATTTCTAAACCAGAATTGTAAACCATCACAGTTTGAATTATTAAGCAATTTTTTAATAAAATGTCTCTATGCATAATCTGTTTTTCCTCATACTAATCTAACAAAAATTATTTGTGTAATAAATTGCAATGATTTAACATTGTGGCTATCAAATTCTGAATAAGTTTTTTTTTATTTACTTACATGATATATATATATATATATTATATATATATAGTATATATATATNNGGACCCCGATTTAACGAACCCCTATTTAACGAATTTCGCGATTTAACGAATTTTTTTTCAACCCCAGCAAAAACAGAGTCAAAAAACCCTAATTAACGAATAATTAACCTCGAATTAACGAATTATTTCAGCATCCGGAAAAAATATTTTTCATTAATTTTGATCTGAAAAATATTGTATTTTTTTGTAATTGGCAGATTCTGAAGGGAAAAAAATCTTTTCTGGGAGGAATAAAATAGAAAAAGTTCATATTCCTCTCAAACAAAAGAAAAACCCGCAACAGGGAAAAACAAAATTCGTCGTGGGTAGGTGGGTAGAGTCAATAAGACATATTACACTTGCAAGGTCATTTTCCGGGGGTTTGTCGCGTGGACTATGAGTCAAACAGGAAATTCCTTTCTAATCTTAGATAGTCGTTTGTAACTAGTAATTTTTAATAATACATATGCACAAAAAATAATTTTTTTTTTTTGTTGAACCCCGATTTAACGAATAAAATTTCCGGTCCCGATGAATTCGTTAAATCGTGGTCCGACTTTATTGTGTATATATATATATATATTGAAAATGTATTTTTAAGTTCAGTGTTCATTTATTGTGAACTCTCAACATTTTGATTAGAGTTGTTGTAATAGTTGTGAGTACTTATTAAGGCTATGAAAGCTGTTTGAAGGGATAGTAACTTTTAATTTTTTTATACTACAATGATTAACAAAATTGCATGTTTCAGATCCTTCTTGTAGCTGTTATGTTATCCCTTTATCAATATTCTAAGCAAAATGTATACCGAGTACCTACCTCGAAAATATCAAAAAATGATGAGCCAAAATGCACCGAATCTAGTTACAAGAGAATGGAGTATTTCAGAAACTATCTTAGACCACCGAAAGAAGAAATTCTTGAGAGATTCAGACAGTGTGCCTTAAAAGAAAAGATTTTATGCACATTTCATTGGTAAGCTGAAATTGAATAAGAAATACCACTCTAATACCTGTGTTTATTTCAGAACATTTGCTTTTGTGCAACAAAATTATTTTATTAAATTTCTTGATATGCAATTAAAAAGATAATCCCACTGTTAATTATCCTAACTGAAGCAATGATCTTCAATAAGAAATTTGAGTTTCATTAATGATCAATAATAATAATGATTATAAATTTTTAATGATCGGTTAGATCTATGTTTAATTAGAATTTGAAAAGATTTTTGTTTGTTCTCACTCAAATATTTATTTTACTCCTAATGTGCATATTTTTTTACTCTGTGTTTTAAATACAGAGGGTGTTCATTAAAGAACACCTTGTGTATTTATTTACATGAAATAACTTTTTTTTTAAAAAGATTTTGAAGCTTTTTATGACATTCTATACATATTTATAATTAATATATAATTTACTTCATAAACTTTCAGCCACATTTGGAATTTCATCGTTATATTTCTTCTACTTCTTGCTTTACTGTTACCTGTAAATAAGCAAATGAGATATCAGCAACAATCTTCAATCCACAAATGGTTATTTAGGTAATATAACCTATTTAATAACATCAATGAGAATTGTTTAAAATATAATTTAATAAGAATTATCTAATTTTTGATTAGCTTTTAAGGAATTTATTTATTTTTTAGGTCTAGCAGTTCTTTTAATACCAGATCACCTAGTACAAAATCAGCTATGACTGAATGGCTTCAAGTTGATTTCATCAACACTATTTATTCTGAGGATTATTCAACTAACTTAGGTTTCACCACTGGCTGCATTTTAGTTCACGATATCACTATAAAATATTTTGGTGTAGTCCAAATTGATAATATTCCAGACTATTCCTGCAATAATTCAAAAAATATCAAAATTAATCAAACTTTTGTGCCTGAATTTGAAAAAAGTGTACTTCATGGCTACCATCAAACGTATTCTGAAGAAAATATCGTAGTTCTGAATGATAACAAAATCAATGCTGTAGACCTTATTAATGAATTTTCTCAGTTTATTTCCAATATATCATCTGGTGCAGTCAGTGTTGAATTTTTACTGTTTAATCCATCATTTTCATTGTTAAACTTCATCAATATTCAATTTGAATTTGCAGAAAGAAATGTAATTACCACCAATTCAATTACTACTGTGAAACTGATGGATATGAATTGCTTTCTTTATCTCATGAAATTTTTTATTCATCTTATATTCTTACTTACAGTTTTAATGGAATGTAACAATCAATGCTGGAAACTATTTAAATACAGTAGTGTGTACTTAAAAAAAATGTGGAACTATTACACTTTTTTATTTAATATTGTTTCAATTAGCTATTTAAGTTACTATTTTAGTTACATTCTGATGCTCAAACGCATATCTCATCAATTAAAAGAATCAGACCTGAAATCTAATTCAGATATCATGAATGCAGCTATGTACGAGAGCATTAATCAAAATTTATTGGCATTTCTGATATTCATGCATCTCTTAAAGTCATTCAGATTCCTTATGTTTAGCCATAGACTAAAAGCACTGGGGAAAAGATTACTGAAATCATGGAAAATGTTGTTGGTCACTATTATTGTTGTTTCATTCTTTTTGGGTCTTTGTGATTTTATGAGAAGAATATTCTCGGGATTGAAAACGCAATCTCTTCATCCTGTCTTCATCTGCTTAGATGCAATTGGGTCTCTATTTAAGGATAATCGAAAACCTGAAATTATCAAAGAAACTGTTGCTTTTGAAAAGTGCATTTCAATAATTATATGCTTCATCTTTATTGCATTGTATACATATCTTTTTGCTTTTATAAGAGCAGTTCTTATAAGAAATAAATCGTCCAAGCTATCTGGTAAAAAGCACATTAGCGTTAAAGATTCGGGAAAAATTCTAAATAAAAAATTGAAAGAATTTTTTCTTCCAGAAAAACCGCAAATCATTTTAAAAGAAAACTATATTCTTCCTGTTGAGTTTCTGCTCTTAGAACTTGAAGAATTGGGTGAAAAACTCCTAAAAAAAGCGGATGAATTATTTCCCAAAGAAGATGATGAAGTGGCCAATAGCTCTGTTGATGTAAAAGATTCTGGTGAATTCCTGAAAACTCTCTTTGAAATCACCAACGAGGAGTTGAAATCTGAAATCAATGATACTGTTATCAAAGTAATGCAGAATTGCGATTTCAAACCACTCACTAACTCGGAAGTTGATGTTGTTAAGAGATTAAATGCAACAGTACCAAGGCTAAGTAAGGTGAGCGGCAAAAAAATTCTTCCGACAAGCCTAAATGCTTCTTTGGCTTCACAAAGAAAGTTTAAGGGTCAAGATATCAACTTATCAGCATCTTTGCAGTGCCACAAAATTCGTAAAACATATCCATTGCAGCTCAATTCAGACTCATCATCTGAAACATTTAGTTGCTTGGAAAAGGAACGAATACCTAATTTTACTTTGAGAAAAACAAAATCCAAAGGTAAAGGGAAGAGTTGTGAGTTAGATTTGAATTTACCAGATGATCATGCATTAAAGTGAGCTACAATTGTTTTATAGCGGGTATTCTTAAAACAGCATCGTTACTATAGATTTTTAACATCTTTGTTGGTAGCGAATAATTACCTTAGTAGAGATATCAGAAGAATATTTAATTGGGAAGTCCTTTACTGCACCTTGTATAGATATGATATAGAAATAAGATACAGATCAAATATTCTAATACCTCCATTTTCTATTAAACATGTCGCCATACAATAAATAGAAAGGATCATATTTAGATATCAAAGAAATCTATTGGTCGAAATCAAATTTCGGCTAAATAAAATTAGCCTTAAAATTTTAAACCTATGCAAGGTGTTCTTTAAACACCTTTCTTGCCATGTGCTTTTAGCATCCTTTTGAAGTATTAATAAATACTGTCATAGTAAAGGTAACAAAAGAATCTTTAAGAGAGAAGTGAATAGTGTTAAAAAACTAAAGATTCGGCTAGTTGAAATTAAATTTCAGTTAATTAAAAATTAGCTTGTAAATTCCAATCCTAGAGACAACGAACCTTGTCCTGTCTTACTTAATAATTCTAATCATCAATAGTTATTATACTAATATTGCCTATTGATATCATTTTCCAAATAATGGTTTTGAAGAATTAAATAAAACTTAAACTATGTTTAAAATTGAAAATGAATCATCAGATTAAGTTGCCTTATGTTAAGTGCTAATGGCTTAATTTTTAGCAAACTTTTCAAAAATATACATGAAGGGCAATAATTACAGAATACCCTGTATAAATGTTTAATGTGCAATTTTATTACTCTGTTTTTAGTTCAAATGCAAACTTGTTTGCTTGCTCATTGTTTTTGTGATATGTTTGTCTTGTGTATTGTTTTTTATTCAAGTTATCCTCTATTTGTGCAATCATTCTAGAACAATTTTTTATGTTTCTATTTTAATGAATCAACATCATTTTCAAATAAGTGTAAATTACTCCAGACATCATGATTTTGATTTTTATAAAATGATAGCATTTTCACCAACATTTAATAAGTGTTATTATTCATTCATTCATTTATTTTAGATATTTTAAATATTCATTTGTATCTAAAGGTTTTTATAAATTTTTGGAATTTTGTTTTGCTGAAATTTTAAAAACCCCTGTATATATGATAAAAATTGTTTTCCTTCATACTTAGATATAAAAAGTGCATTTATGAAACAAATTAAAATACTCTACCAAGGACGAGCTTAAATCTGTAAGTGACCTTAAATTACTAAAATATTTCTTTTTTATTATATATAGTTATGTTGGAAAGAAGGAATTTTGTAAAAAAACCATTTCTCCATAAAAATTTTAATGGAAGTGATAAAATTGAATATCTGTTTGTAGCTAAAAAATCAAATTTTAAATTTTTTACTAATATAAATAAGATGAGCTAAAATTCATTAATTTTCACTTTATCATTAATAACTAAGCCCATAATTATATTTTGAATGTCATGTTTAACAATTTGAAATTTTTTTTACAATTTAATTCCATTTTAACTTTTTAAAATTTTAGTTATCTAACTTATTTATAAAGATAATTGCTTGGATAAAATAAACAGATTGAACGTTCAAAAAAAGTTAAGAACTTACAGTAGTTCGCATGCTTTCAAATTAGCATTGTGTAAAATCTCTGTTAAGAGGATGCCATACCATTTGAGAAACTTTTCTTTGCAAATTCTTTTTCAGAAAAAAAAAATGAGTTCAGAAAACCTATGGTAATTCATGAAGTTTCAAAAAATGTGTAAATGAAAATAAATTATATGGGGATAACTTAGAATTACGCAATGGAGAAGTTCTCGTCCAATAATTTGTTTGCATTTTGATTTTTTTTTCAGCAACAGAAACTTAATGGCTTACTCTAGGTTTGCAGGAACTCATTTTTTCTTTTTTTTTACATAAGTAGTGGAGGTGAAAAAGAATTAGCAACGAAAAGTTTATTCTGTGGTATGGTGTCTTTTTAAGTTGTAATGTCTGTTATGTTGAATACATGTGATTGAAAATTCTGATAAGCACTGAAAGCAATATTTTTTGTAACTTTTTATGCTTTTAACACTTCAATTCCCTTTTCTTTTTTTCCATATTATTCTTTTTCATTCTGAAAAAGGCTTATTATTAGAGAAAGTATGTTTTTCTTTGATATATGAATTTTCCATTTTATTGTTAAAAGGAAATCAAGTTTGAGTTAAAAGTACAAAATTATTTTCTCTGTTAAATTGTGCCAGTATTTTTCATTTGTTTCATATTATTTATGTTACAAAATCATTTCCAATGAGCATTCTCACTTCATTCACAATTGTGCAATGTTTTTCATATTTTATTCTGCATTTGTTAAAACATTAAATGCATAGAAGCTGGAATCATCAAATTATTTATTTTTGATATTTCATATTCACTTTACTTCATACAATTTTATATGTGATGCATTTATATTTTATACAGTTGTATTGTAATTCTTAAATAAATTACACTATTCTTTTATCAGTTTCATAGGCTCTTTTCTTATTAAAGAATCTACAGCAATCCTCACACAAACCAAATTAATTATCTATAAATAACAAATGAAAATAATCTGAATCTACAACTGAAGTAACTAATTTATTATTTAATGCCTAAAATAGTTTGCCATTGCTAATACTTGTTATTAGAGAAGCCAGTATATTGCATATACACAGTTAAGAATCAGTCAAGTGCTTTAACTTTAAAATGGGTTTGGCTGGTGAAACATTATACTCAGGGCTAAAGAGAATAGAAGGGCTGGGGAGCATTTTTTTTTCGTGACATATTCTAATACATTTGTTATTTTCTATAATGACTTTCCTCGGTTTTTGCAGTGAATTTACAAAAATTTAAAACTATTATTGAAATGCCAGTTTGCGCGATTGCAACTTGCAAAAATTCTGATAAAAAAACAAAAGGAAAAACGCGTTCCCTAAAGTAAATGAACAACTATGTAAAGAATGGATTCCGAAATGGCACAGTTAATACAAAACAGAAATACGTTTATTCTATCGTTAAGAACTTTTATAAAAATTCATTATCTAAATAGAAACCGCCTTGTTGCTTCAAAAAGAAAGGCAGGTGAAAAAAATTAAAAAATAGATAAAGTCAAAGAAAATTAAAATGTAAAAAAAAAAAAGNGTGCAAAAATGGTTACAGAAGCTTATTTTAAAGTTAAAACACGCAAAACAAATTTTCTTTGAATATTCCCAAATTATTTTTCTAGTCAAAAGCAGGAAGTAAATTTTAAACAGTCACATTTCTCTCTGGTTTAATACATTCAAAATTCCATCAAAATTAGGTGTTTTCACTGAATTTAAGATAGAATTCTTGTTCATTTTTTTTTTGCATTTCCTTCATTGTTTGTCTTTTTTTAAATGTTGTAGGAAAAAAATTAATTAATTTGCCTGAATATAAATGAACACAATTACAAGGGGGAATAATTGACTTTCAATTTTTTTCTGATGTAATTCAGAATATTCGAGACAATTAACTCGAAATAAGAAAAAACACATATCTCGTATTAAAGTCATTATCAATTTACCGCCGATATAAACTTTAACGTTTGTTTCGTTCTCTCTACTTTTATTAATAAAAAAAATATATATTGGACATCCATTTAATAAAAATGAATGTTTCTTTTTATCTTTTAGGTTAAGAGCGATCGTAGCTTCAGCTCTAAGAGCGGAGTGAACTAGCCCTTCTATTCTCTTTAGCCCTGATTATACTAGTATGTTTTTAAAATATATTAAGGATTTTTACAGGCGAAATTCTAAATAAGTTATTCCCCAAGAATTTCTTATTGACTCCAATGCAAAAGTTAATCCTATATCATTTCTGGACCTGATGCTGGTATTCCCTTCTACAAAACAAATTTGGTAAATACTTAATAAATTCTTTGAAAGCCGGCAAATGTAGTTTAAAAACACATTATAAGTGCATACAATCAATCCGGAATAGATGTGTAGAGAAACAGTCATAGAAAATTTCTAAAAAAAGATCTTGTTTAAGCCCAAACACACTAAGCTGCAGTTTGTAGTAAGTGTATAATTATCATAATAAACCTTTTGCAAATTTGTTTATCATTTTTTCAAAGTGGAATTCATTTGAAACTGGTTTCAATATTAAAAGTAAGCGTAAAATTGTTTTAAATACAAACATATAGTTATAGAAAATTTTTAAAAAAGATATTAGCTCAAAGCACGCTAATTACATGCTATTAAACTAAACAAGTTTCTTTCCTTTTGCCGTAAATTTCTCCGTGGTAGAAGGATCATGAAGAAAAAGCTCCTCGCTGTCAGGCTAACCGCGTTAGTTTTCTACTGTATACCATCACATGTAATACAGATACGAGTGAGATACATAAAACGCCCTCCTTGAATAGTTTGTCCAAATGCTTTATCCAGTATTTCCTTAGTCTTCTGGATTGGACTTAAAATTGCAAGGCTGCGGAATTATACGTCGATTGTCGTAAATTGGGAATTGGATGGGCTGTTCAAAGCGGAATATTTCTGGCTACAAGCATTTCCTTTAAGATTGGTTTCATAACTAAAAGTGAGCGACAATTCTAAAAGTCAAGAAATATTTATAGAAATTAAAATTTTTTTAGTCCGTCACACGATTGTTTTTTATTTTTTTTAATGGCGGGCACTTGGGGATTGTCCCATTGGCCACAGGAATGCCAGAACTGTTACTCTTTTCTCGTTACCCAGAGGGCACCTGTGGCGAAGCCACGGCGGTGGAGCAGCGTCGCCCACGTCACACAACCACAAACCCGTTTATAGGGCGGGTCACATTCACACAAAGGAGAAAGGACATAAAACATAGAGAGAGAGAGAGAAAGAAACATCCATGCCCTGAGCAGGATTCGAACCCGCGGCCAATGGCTCCTCAGCCAGACACGCTAACCGCTCGGCCGTCACACGATTGTTCAAGTTTAAGTATATAACCAGCATAAATTGTTTCATAATTAAGAGAGAGTGTCAAATTCCTTGAAAACACTCATCTATGTCCAGAAATATTAATTGAAAATTAAAAGTATGTTTAATGGTAGAATAAGGGAAGACAATTACGAATTTTTTATAAATTTTTATTACAAGAAATTTCTATGAAACTTGTTTTCATAGTTAAAAGTGGTCTTCAATTTGATAGAATACACCCATATATGTGAAGAAATATTTATTGAAAATATAGGGGGGTGGGGTATTATATTGTCCAAAACACGTTTATGTAAGGATAAGCATCTCTTTCACTAAAAAGGGACTTTTTACAATTTTTTTAATACTTTTTTGTAAAATGGAATTCCTTTAAAACTTGTTTCATAATTAAAAGTGAGCGTCAGTTCGTTTGAAAACACCAAGATATATTTAGAGAAATTTTAATTTTTTTATCCCGACAGATGATTATTCAAAATTATGTATATAACTATAGTGATATACATAATGTTATAACATAACGGGGAACCAATTTGAGAATTTTTTATAATTTCTGGCAATAAGCATTTCCTTTAAAACTGGTTTCGTTATTAAAAGTTAGCATCAATTTTCCTTAAAGTAACCATATATGTCAATATCAATTTAGAGAAAGAATTAATAAAAACCATGCCTATTTAACCGTATGCATCGCTGACATAAGAAAATACTTTGATAATTTTTTATAACGAAAATCAGAGTTCAACTCTTAAAGTGAGGACTACATAGCTTTTACCAGACCTTGTCACATCATAATCGCATTATCAGCAATTTAAGCGCCATCTGTGCTTTATGTATAGAACAAAATGTATAGGAAATGTATAGCTTTATGTATAGGACAAAAGAAAAAAAATTTAAAAATATTTTACAGACATATAATAGCATATATATGTGGGTTTTTTTTAGAAAAATTGACACCCACCCTGTCACTTGATTTTCATATTAAAGTTCTCTCGCATACCGAAAACATATAAGATATTACTACAATGTCCCTCAGTCCAGTCGAATCCCTCAAATGCAGCAATAAATAATATTATGTAAAAGAAAAAATAACACTGAAATGCGTAATATCAAAATTGAGAATTGAAACCTAAAACTGAGACCTACGATACCTTTTACGAATCGTCTAACTTCATAAATGCATTATCATCAAGTTAAGCGCTTTCTATGCTTTTTGTATAGAAGGACTAAGACAAAAGATTTTTTTTTAAAAAAAGCATTTTGTAAATATATTATAGCATATATATGAGTTTTTGGAAAATTAGACGTCCAAACAGTCTTTTGATTTTAATATCAAAAATCTCGCTCGTATAAAATATAAACAATTAATTAATTGTCCCTCAGTTGAGCCCCTCAAATGCAGCATTTAATAATATGGACTATAAAGCCTTTTTCAGCACTTCTCACATCATAATTGCATTATCAGCGACTTAAGCGCAAAATGCCTGAGGAATATATAACCGTCGTTGAACAGCGGACCCAAT